TCCATGACTGATATATCTGACACATCATCCACGAGGAGTCCAAAGCATCCTGCCATCTTTGCTCATGTCACAACATTCTCTTTTACTGCACAGCTCAGAGTACTAAACATTTCCCGCACTGATGCTGGTGATCGATGATCAAAGTACTTCAGATCATTAACCCCTAACTTCTCAAGAAGGGTCAACAAGCCCGCTGCTTTTTTGTTTGCGATTCCCTCCTTAGCTAGCCAGTAAATTGAATAAAATACTTTGAAAAGAATGGAGTCGTTCACTTTCTGCCGCTCATCCAGTTTCTTCTGGAAAACGGAAACTCAGTTCATCATTTCGCATGATATTGCCGCCGAATGTTTCTGCGACTGTCCATGTTCATTGATTGCTGTCGTTTTATATCTTACAGAAGGCTTCTCGTTGAAAATGTCGGATTTGTTTTGCTGATTCGTACATTTGTATTTCTTGCAAATCAAGCAATACATACCCTCACCTTCAACAAACACAAGCCACCTCAAACCTGTCTTTTCACAAAATACGTTTGCTTAGAAGAGCCACTCGTGTTGGAACTTGTCTTTCTTGTTTGACAACCTTTGTTTTTAGTCTGTTCCAAGCCTAGAACAATTTCTTTCGCGGCAGCGGTGGTACTGATGCAGCACTTTCTTTTGGTCTTCTGTAAAGACATCCTTGATTATACGGTACACATCCTCAGAACTGACGGAAGATTTTTTGTAAGAAGCAAACCTCTCAGTTGCTTCAGAAGAAGTTGACTTCAGACTCCGTTTAGCTAGCGGTTCTTCATCTTCATCTTTGTTGTTGTCGCTGTTTGAACTGACTTTTGAGTGCTTCCCACCATTGCTCGTTCCGGGCGTAAAAAAATTTGTAATTTTTGACATGATAACCGACAGAAAACCTAGAAAGATAGTAGGAAATCTTTTTCCCTGTGGTAAATTTTAGGACAAAGACATGCCGTAATAATAAACTCTTTAAATAGCATGCGACGTGAGAAAACTTTTCCCGCCTCTGTTGGTGACATGCATGCGAGACGTGAATTCACTCTCAGTACAAAACTTGTGTGTTCGGTTTAAATGATATCTTGAATGCAGCAGATAACTATCAATGAAAATTTCATCTTTGGTCCCTTTACAGTTGCAAATTATAGTGCTTCTATTCACAAGTCGTGGTTTATAGAAATTGACAAAATTTGCATTTGCTTTGCAGTAACTTCATACTCATCTCATAATATGCTGTACGGTAAACAGCTTGCGAAGCAGTTTATATAACAAAAATCGGTTTTCATATGAATGCAGCTCACTTTTCTCTGCTTAGCTTTGGCCAAGTTTTCTTTTTGTGACTTATGTCGATTTTACTTGTTCGTCTTGTACTTTATTTTTTAAGAATAATTTTCGCATGTAGATAAAAATGAACAGCTCGAGCAGACTGGAAACTGCGCAAGCAGTAGTCATTTTTTCTTTCTTTTTATTTTAGTGTCCCCAATTAGTTTTTTAGCTTAACACTGCTGGCACTTAAATAAGTCTTAAATAAGGTCATCTATATATTCAGTCATTATTTATTTAAGCATGTAGAGTCACGTCGGCATGACATTAAAATTACACATTACTGTGCAATGTCTGTGACATGCCTGTTTCAATATACCGGTATAAGAATTCTCAACGACCACACATGTGAACGAAGAATTATTTGTTCAACACGTTCTGTGTATATCTTCTTGGAAAAAAAGACACCATTTTCGCCAAATATAATTTTCTACTACATAACGGCTCCTCGTCTGAATAAGAAATATGTAGCTCCAGGCCATCAAAATTTAGCCGGAGAATTCTGCGTAGTAGGCAGAGAATTCTCCGATCTCCGATGCCTAATGAACACCCTGACTTGTTTAACCTTTTAGCTTTGAATATTAACACTTAAATGTTAAGTGGGTGTACACAATCATTTCTGACAGACACCAAGCAAAATTTAAACATTGAAAGCTTTTTCTTAATGCAACTCTTAACTAACCTTCCAAATTTAATTGGAGGTGGCTTAACAACTTAAATAGAAATGTTTTGATAATTGATCAGTGCAACATTATACGTGGGCAGTATCCCATGAGCAACATCATTTCTGGGCAAAATCAATGTTAGTAATTCCTCCCTAAACCTCTGTCTAATGGCCACTTTGGTTTATCTCCACAGTATCCCTAATGTGGAGAGGTTTAACTGTATAAAAAAAGGTCTGCACATGCCATGAAGAACCTCATCATAAAAAAATAAGAAGTTCACCTTGATGTAGCCACTAATAAACTCATTTCAAATGTTACCTTCACTGTGATGTGATCTGCTAGCTATTTCCTGCTCATCAAGAAGGACTTCAATGTGATCTTTCAACATTTCAATTTCCATTTCTTTTTCAGCTAGAAGAGCCTCTTGGTTTTCCTTGAAAATTAAAATAAGCTCAACTGAACCTATTTTTCAAGGGCTTGGGTCTCAGGTCTTAGGTTCTGGTTTTTTAGACACCCAAGTTCTCTCCCCTTGAAAGTCAATGACAAACTGATCATAACCAAATACAATTTCAACATGCATATTGTTTCTTTTACTGACTGTGCTTTAATTTTATTACCTTTAATTCCTATCAATCTCTTTGGTATGCAATGGAGAAACTTTGACATACTTTCAAAACCTTGCACATTTGCCAAAAATTTAGAGTGACACATTTTCTTGTTGGTTTTACATAGTTTGGTACCATGGCAGAACTAGTTACTAATGGGGGCCCTTAAGTTTCTCTTCACATGTGTTTTATCTTTTTAATATTCAAATGCAAATAGGAGGTAAAATGAAGTTGTCCATCTGTTAATTATGTTAAATAAATGCATCACTCAGCAAAATTAATACAGAGAATGAATCCAACATAAAAAATATTTCAGTCTATAACTGTGTGTTTTCACAAAGATGGCCATACTGTCAGGCTATGGCTTTACGATAGCAATGCAAAGGAAATGAATAATGAAATTTTTTTTTAATTTTGCCTGATGATCAGTCACTTGGTGACTTTGCTTGAAAGCTTCCACTCAGAAAGCTGGAATGATGGTAACCATTCAACTCTGTGGAATAATAAATGCATACCTCTGGTGATCTACAAAAATGAGACAAATAATATCCTGTTTTTATCAAATTTCCGTTTGCAAAATTCATCCAATGTGGAGACTGTGATTCAAATCTTTCTTTGCAATTTATCTCACAGTCACTCAATGAACAATTGCATTGTAAGAGGATGATCTTTGTTTAAAAGATTTTCTTCCACATAACAATCCTTAAAGTTTTTTGCCTTTGCATGATATACCTCAGAATGCATTTTATGTGATTGCAAGTTTTTTCAAATGATTGAAATTAATAATAAAAGGCATGTGGCAAAAAAGTTTTTATTACAAGATTTCTTCTATTAGAATTTCACTGACAAGATAATTTTTGTCAGCTACAGTATTACTGATTGATCCAGCTGCCAGTGTTCATGTAAGGTAACTGAATTGAACCAATTAGCCAATAAAATTTAATCCTTTCCACAGCTCATATTTTATATCAGATCCCTAACAATCAAAATAATTGACAGTAATGGGTTAATATTTTTTGGTCACTTGAAAGGTGGCACTTAAGGTAACAGTGCTAAGTAAAAACTGTATCGTAATAAAGTTTAGATGTAATGCATGCTGCCATTGGTTGAAAGATTATATTCCATCAGATAACAAAGCAAGGAGCTGAGCTAATGCTGTCACAATGTCTGCCAATTTGTTAACTTTATTTAACTGAAAGTGAAATTTCAGAAAAAGCGAGCCACTAGTAGTAACAGAAGACCCAAACAAAGGCTTGTGAACATCCCATGTACTGTAATTGACATTATCATGACACAGGAAGAAACTAAAATTGAAATTCTACGAGAGAACATGAAATAGACTGTTTGAGTTTTGAAAGTTGTGAGTAATGCATAGGGAATTTGACGGATTCTTTAAATTCATAAAATAAATAAAGAAGACTTGACTGTGCTCTGTTCTGTTGTAAAGCACTTAGGAAGCAGTTCAAGAGATAGGGAGAAACACTACACTACATCTCGCATTTTTGCCCCTTACACTTCTTTTGTGTTTAGCTGCGTCCTACATGCTTTACAACAAAACAGAGCACAGTCAAGGCTTCTTTAATTGTTAAACAAGCCTGATTCCCCTATATGTGTGTTTACGAGAGTTTAGGACACCTTTCTACACTTATGTGAGTAAGTAAGCAAATGACTTATTTGCACGTTAGAGTTACCATAAAAACTTGTTGCTACTCCTTACATACCAGGAGTTAAAATTGAAATGAGTCACACAACTACAATAGTGCAAAATAGATTAGAGCTAACAATGGAAAAACTCAACAGAAGCAACATGAGCTCAAGTACCTTGCATCCTATAGATTCTGTCTGTGGTGTACTATGAGGAGCCCTTTTCAAAGATGAGATTTCTGTCACAAGCTGTAACTTTTCATTTAATAAATTTGTGGTTTTAATTATCTCCTGGAAATAAAGAATCAATAATGGGGATGGTCAATTCAACTAACGAACAAATAACTACATGTGTAACTAACTGACAAATTAAACAACTCTTCAGCTGACTCCACAGTTGACTCACATTAAGTTTGTCTGAGCATCATTTGCTCAGGCACCTAAGATAACTATGGATTACATATTGTTATTTTCACTTTCAATGGCTCTAAGGCACGGGTATCTGTTAGTGCTGAACAAAGTGGAACATAATCACCCAAACCTTACCAGCCAGATTTAAAGATGTTTATTTATGGTTAGGGACTGGTTATAAAGTAATAATTTATACATGGATAAAGGGATGTGCCAAAAATGTTGCCAATGAACTTGTGAGTATGTCAAGTCTCCAAAAAGAATAAAATCACTTCGAACAACAGTAAAAAAAAGAGGAACTCACACTCTCGAGGAATTGTTCAGCCTCTTCTAATTTTATCTGCAGCTCCTCCTTAGTAAACTCAAGATCTCTTATTTTTTCACCTTGTGCTTCCACTTGATCTGTTAGTACGCTTACTTGCAAGATCAAAGATTCTTTTTCGTCCTGTAGTCTGCTGATTTGCAACAGATGTTTCTCAGCGCTCGTCATCGTTTGCTGTTCGTCTTTTTGCAGATCTCTGTTGGATGTCACCTAGACAATAGATCATTTAAGATTCACTTAAAATCCAGAGCGAAGAAAAAATGAAATACCGTGATTTACATCCAAATACCTTTGGAGAATGTAACCAGTCAGTAAGAAAGGCGATTGTTGAACCAGAAATCTCGATCGTGCACTCGACTGCATCATCCTTAATCTCTTCGAGTAGTCCTTTGAGTTCCTCCAACAAGGAAACAACTTTCTCTTTTGGCGAGCAAGCGTGAGGTTGGGTCTTCAGGCTTTCCATAATAAGTTGGTCGTCAGAAATAAGACCATCCATTTTCTGTAAGGCTTCAGCTAACATAGTCGCCGCATCGTTTGCCACAGCAGCCATCTTGAACCTGAGTAAGTAATTTCCGATTTCGTCAGCCTCGTTCATATGCCGGAAAGGAACTTGCGACATGTAAGGGAAGTTCGAAATTTAATAGCCGTTAAGACTTCCAAAACTAAAGCCTCTTATTTGACCCGCATATGCCTCTAGAGGATCAAAGACTTCAGCAAAGGCGGAATTTACCGATTTTTTTTCGGCCTAAGACCTTACTTGTTAAGTTTCATCTTCCTTCAATCATATCTTTGACCATTAAGAGAGATCACAACAGACAAGCGACCAAGTTCACAGGGTGACCTGCAGTTGAGGTCATTGCCGGAAAAAACGCGTGAAGGCTCAAAAGCAGGCTCAAAGGGTTCAAGAAATGTTCTGCGGACGACATTTAGGGAGAGGAAGTGGAAGAGCAAGCTACGATGAATACCGCCCTTGAGGAGTTCCTCGGAGTTATATCTAAGTAGAAGTCGCGGTCAAAAGATTGATAGTTTTTCACATCGTGTAAACAGTCATAAGCTGTCACGAACGCGTTTTCCAAATTTGGCAGTCTAAACATTTTTGATAGTTTGCGCTTTGATCCATTGCAAGCTAAATGTAGGTAGAAGAGTGGAGCTTCTAATATTTCTTGTCTTTGTTTCCAGTGGTGCACAGTGGTGTGATCATTTCTCGGATTTATCAAGAAAAAAGTTGCTTAGAAGTAAGTCTTGTTTATATTTTAACTGTCTGGTAACGTGATGTTGGTAATGAGCACTAATCTTCGACTATTTCACACGGTGTGGAAATTTAATTACGACCCGCGTTTCATTCCGTTAGCTTATGTATCGCTTTTATTTATTCTTTTTTAAGATTACTCTGTATTTTTTTCTGAAAGCTGTTTTGGCCATCTCACGAGACTTCAGCGGAAGCAAGTCTTTGTATGATATATTTAAGGGCATAGTCTCTTGTTTTCGAATGAGGCCGTAAATATGATTACGGCTCTTTTTTCCTCTCATGTGTGCACATAAACTGGTGTCTCTGTTAAATTTAAAAAGCTCTTTAACCTCAACTCGTGGATAAAATAATAGTATTTTATTTTCTGCGATTGAAATCCGATCTGCCCTTTGATCTTGATCAAAATTACTACCCTTTCGGCTTAACGAGAGTTTGTTTAAAACAGGCAGTTTATACTGAGATTGCTATCCCTATAAAATATTTTACTCGTCTTTTAACGATTATTTTGCGTGTAACTTCGAGGGCGATATCTTTTTGATAATGAGACTAACAGGAATTACTCTTCGTGGATGTGTGTAGGGTCTTAACCATGGCGGAGGGTGGTTTGAAAGGCTCTCGCTCAGCTGAAGGTAAGATCAACTGCATCATAACTTAAGTATTGATCTACTGTGGCTAATATTCACATCAACGTCCCCTACGTAGCTCACGAATGTCGATTGTAACTAAATCGTGGAAAAAATTGCTTTAACTCTTAATTTTAGGTGAACAGAATTGTGCGAAGAAGTTTGGGGTGTACATTTACTATTAATGTGAGACGTCCCGTCGTGTAAAGGGATTTAATTTTTCGTTGCTTTGAGGCCGTTACTCTCAGTCTACGGTTCCAAAATCTTGATGACATGATACTAAAGAAGAGTGTTCTGTGGTTAAAAAAGCTAACCTGGTGGCAACTTAAATGTGAAGGGCATCTTTTATACCTGAGCTTGACCTGTGAGAAACTTCTGGGTCAGGTTTCATTGCTGGCTCAGGGGTTAATCATAGGCACCCTATGAGCAACATGTTTGATACAGCACCTGAGAGATTACATAGAACTGAAGACAGGAGGTTCAATTTCTTGTCAGTGGAAAAATTCAATTTTTCTGCAGTTCCAATTGGTCTGCATTGAACAAGAATGCCCAGTTGCTCCTTTTATCTTGAATACATTCTGATAGATTGACCCCCCTCCCCAGCCAAAAAAAAGAGAAGAGAGGCAGAGTGCTAAAACCTGGAACAATGGAAAATGCTGGAGCAGAAAACAACAGAATTTCTAAAAATAAAATTAAATGTAAAATATGATAAAAAAACAGTAAAAACTCAATTTAAGTGTAGCTCACACTCTTTGTGCATCAAGTCCATAGACTAGTAACCCTGTTGTTGGTGTGTTCAATTCCCAACATGGAGAATGGTGGGTTAACATTCTTTTCACTTGCAATTGTAATCCACTGTAATCACCTCAGCTATGATGTTGTGCACAAGGTGGGAGAATTTGTTCACTAAAAAACCAAATTAATTTTTGGAATCACAAGAAATACATTGATACTTTTTAGAAGTTTCAAGGAACCTTTCAAAGGCATTTTGGAGAAAATTTCTGACTGCCAACATGTTGGGAATTGAACACATACAAAGGAGTTACGTGTCAGTGGAAAAGCAAGATGGTGGACTTGACACTTGAAGAGAGTAAGCTACACTCAAATTGAGTAATTGAGTATTTCATATATATATATATATATATATATATATATATATATATATATATATATCTGAGTTTGTGCTTATGCACTTGTCAGACAGATTTATCTTAGATTTATCTTATTTATTTTAGATTATTTAATTTCACAAGGTTCTGGCATGTTCTGGAATGTTCTTGTGTTCCAGCTTGTACCTGTGTTTGGGGTTTTTAGCACATGCCAAATTTTCTATGGCAGACTATTTTTAAAAAGTGACATTTTTGTGGGTAAATGACCTTGAAATGGGCTGAGATTCACAAAAGTTAAGTTAAGGTTCATGTTTCCCTAACAAGAATTTTTTAGTTGTGAGATGTCTTACTAATGCAATATGAGGTCAATAGTGTGAAACTGGGCCATTACTTTGTACAAGAAGGCTTATGCACTATCACACTTAGTTAAAAAAAAAAACCCAGGATAAAAAGAAAAGTTTCTAGGATAATAAATTTAGGTATGTTACCTTCAGGTATCAAACCAGGGACAATCTGCTATCAAACCACCTCTGATATCTAAACTCCAGGATAATGTCGATGTCTACACCAGAGTGGGTTGTGGACCTGCATATCAACTTGTGATAAAATTCCTTTCTATGCCAAGTGTATTACTTCATCCTCTGTATGGGTTGGAATCTGATATGGAGTTTCATTTAACTTTTAAACTTTGTGCATATTAGGATCATAGTTCAACCTTTTAACCCTTTAACTCTCAGAAGAGATGAACATGCAACTTCTTCCTTTTATATCAATACTCAAACTTATTTGGTAGAAGCTTTTATCTTGATCTATCACCAATTTGTCTTATTAATTCACAAGGAAAGGTGCACTGTAGCAGTGTGAAGGGAGAACAACACTCAGAACTTGGGAGTTAAAGGATTTAGAATGCTAAAAAGGAATTTTTGTATAATGTGGTTATTATTTTGAAGCCATCGACTGAAATTATCAGACCGTTAAGGACAAAGAAATTCAAGTCCTTTGAAAGGGTCTCTAAGATCAGCCGTAATACAATAATTCCACGCGAATTAAGCAAAATGCCCAGTTGCTCTGACTTTGTCATGGATTCGAAACTCGGACTGTCAGAAATTCAGATTGTGGATGGTTTCTTTTGGAATGTAGGCACAGACAGTTCTTTCAATGGGCAGTTATGTGAAGCCATATGGTTCTGGTATGGTTAGATCAAAGGGCAAGAATTAATTTCACATTTATGCCTATTTTCAAATTTTTTGTCAAAATTGCTTGAATAATAAGGGTGGTTTGGAAAACTTTGACGGTAGAGTTAAAGTGAATTCTTAATTGCCAAGGGTACATTGGAATTACTTGCTTATCATGGTGAGGGAAAAAATTTGGAAGTTACATTGAACTGACTGTGATTAAGAATAGTAGCCAGTAGGAAAATAACCTTTTAAAGTTGACTTAAACACTCACAGATCAACCAGTTTCTTTAAATTTGTATACTCAAGTGATTTGGTGTGGTCCTCTATCAAAGGAACAATTATTACTTTCAATTGACTCAGTTTTACTTGTTTCTATTCAAAGGGTTACACGAAACAGATAAACCTGGCAAACTATCATCTGACCTATTAAACAAGTTCAGATCAGATCCTGCATTGACTTGCCTACAGCCGTTACCTGTGGGACATGGCCTGCTTAGTGCACAATCTTTCACTTCAAGTTCTGAGGAGATGTCAACCTCACAAGAAAACATTAAATTAGCTCAGACAAGTGTCGTAATTAAAGTCCCTGACAACAGCAGAGACCCTCTCTCACCCAGCAGTGGTGATGAGGATATACTTTCTGATGACGAAACAGGCACTACCAAAGATAAAAAGAAACGGAAATCCAGGTGGAAGTGGAGTCCTTTGAAAAGGATGAAAAAAATATTCAGAAGAAAGAAAAGCCCCACACGAGTTAAATCTTGTGAGGAAATTCCAGCAGAGCATTACAAACCAACTTATGGGGTCTCATCACTGGAGGATGATGCCTCATTAAGGAATCGTACCAAGTCAGAACCTTCCTTAGCTGAGTCAAAAACTAAGAGTCCACAAGCTGTTGTTGAGTTGCATGAAAGAAGAAACACTTTTGACAATCCTGTCCAAACAGTGCAGAGTAAGCCTATGAATAGGGTAAGTAGTGCAGTAGGAGGTGGCTTTTTTCCATGGGTGAAAATTATTTCACCTATGGAAAGCAGAAACAGATTTGTAGGCAGTGAGGAAACAAGATTCCAAAATTTGCCAAAACACAATTAGGCTGGCAAAGGGTCTGACATAAACCTTCTTATTTTCTAACATGAAAAGGTAGTACACAGGGCTCTAATGTAGTGTAAGGGTTTAAGCCCTTGATTACTCACTCCCTACCAATGCTGTTCTTTTCTCCCTTTCCCCCCTTTTAATGCTTTTAATTTACAGTTTTGCATGCCTTAGAGGAACACCAAATATACCCAAAATTGTACCTGGTAGTGATGGTCTCAATTTTTTTTTTTTTTCTAAGCTATGACACTGTTTCAGAGATGAGGTTGATCTTGCCATGGAAGTTTTGTCTGATATCATTAATTAACCAGAGATCTTAATGAGGAAAAGGTGAATAATTCATCTCTGCTTCACCCTTCCTCTCATGTGGGGTTAGTGACTATGTGCCTGTGTTGTAGGGAAGACTGCATGCTTTCTTTTCTTTTTTCAGCCTTCTGGCGAACTAATAAAAACCTTGGAAACAGAAGGTAAAAGCCAAGAAAGTATAAGCAAGGTACCTTTCATGTCTTCAGACAAAATAGCAAGCCAAGTAGACTCCACTGGTCTGGGTTGGAAGATAATAAGTTCTGACAGTGGTACTGAAGGTAAGTTTCTTGAATTCCTGAATTACATGTATACGTCACAAGCATA